AATAGGCAACAACCTCTATTAGGCGACCAGCCTCTATTAAGCGACCAACCTCTATTAGGCGACCAGCCTCTATAAATAGGCAACAACCTCTATTAAGAGACCAACCTCTATTAAGCGACCAACCTCTATTAAGCGACCAATCTCTATTAAGCGACCAACCTCTATTAGGCGACCAGCCTCTATAAATAGGCAACAACCTCTATTAAGAGACCAGCCTCTATTAGGCGACCAACCTCTATTAAGCGACCAACCTCTATTAAGCAACCAATCTCTATTAAGCAACCAATCTCTATTAAGCGACCAACCTCTATTAAGAGACCAACCTCTATTAGGCGACCAACCTCTATTAAGCGACCAGCCTCTTTTTTAGACCAGTTGTGTAGCTGTTGGAGCTGCACATTTTTTACAAGACAGTTGACTTAATTATGCAAAGCGAGGCTAAGCGAGACTAAGCCTGTACAGATGAGTCTTTAGTCATCAAACACAGCGGTATATACCAAATGAGAAAAAGGAACTATTCCGCTCTAAACACATCATTTCTAGCCAATCAGCTCGCGGAATTTATAATTAGCTCTGGAATTCCATAAGAATCAGAATTCTTTTGTATTTTCCTATAAGCTTCACTTTCAGAATAGCTCTGAGAGTGAGTGGCGTCGTATAGAATCTAAGTGAGTTCTAGGTATTCAATTTATAAGACATAGAAGCAGACATACAAAGTCGTCTCGTACTTTAGTATTCTTCAGTTTTTATAATATCGATGATATTGATGTGCGGCTCTGTCTTCAAATACACCCTGTGTCGTGACTGGATTTTCAGTAACCACTTCTGCTCTTGGGTCTTCAAAGCATTCACTCGAGAACTGACGCAGTGTCAGTATAAGATATGCTGCCGTGTCACGGTGTCATACTTTGAGGCTCTTTAGTCTAGTCAGTTAAGTTGAATACCTAATCGCAAAAGCCGAATAATAAATTCCGCTTCATTAGTTCCCAAACTTAAGAGGCATTTTGGTCTTAGATTTGCTGTTCGTTTGTTCTGAATGAATATTTTGAAGGGAGCAAAGCATCTTAGGTTTATAATCATTCTCATTCATTTCGAGTAGTACTTTTTGAAAGGCCTAACGATCGATAAAAGAAAAAAAATTTAAAGCAAATAAAGTCGGATAAAATGAGCTAGGAAAGACAGATAGAAACGTGTACAGATAATGATTTTTTTAAACAAGAAAATAAACAGCAAGTTTTGTAGAAAACAATACGTTTTGGAAAGAAAAAATGTATATAGAATTTAACAAGGTCATCAGGCATGATATGTGATTATTGTCATATACACGCTAATTGACGTGTTGAAAATCTCTCTTGAAACGGCATTGTTCCACTTCAACGAATGACATATTTATGTTTATTGCTCTAGTGGTTGCACTCCTGTTTGTTCAAAATGGAAACCAACAGAGGTCTTTTCTACAAATACGAACTGCTAAAGGAGATATGGTGTGAGCAATTGAGCAAATCGACCCAACGTTTCTTGAGCGAAGATTATTTCAAGAACTTCTTATTACATCATGGTAGCTTTTGCTTCTACATCGTTAAGACCAACGATGGCTCATCACAGCTCATGCTGGATGAAGAACAATATCAAGCAGTGAAAGGAAGACTTCAACACAAGACAAGGACAGAATTGAGAGAGATTCCAAGTCAAATCTTCGCGGATGGAAAGGGTAATGTTTTGAAGGAAAGGAAGAGTTTTTTATCTCAAGAAGAATTGGAGAAAGAGCTAAAAAACTTGAAGGAAAATGAAAGGACTGTTTTCAGAAGGTATGAAAATAATATTTGATGTTATACTTGACTGGAATGCGAATTATAAAATCAGATGAAGTAAGGCGGAACTCTTGCAAACTCACCCTATTTTGAGCTCAGTGAAATCCTTATGTTAGTTCTACTTGATAAAAAATATGCAAATACGAAGTAATTTCTTCAAATTTCAACTTTTTCTGCCCGCAAAACGTTTCAGTTAGATTTGGTTTGGTTTTCAGATTTACATTAAGTTTTAGAACCCTTATCCTTAGAATATTCCTTAGAATATTCTTCACCTACGATTGCCGGGGAAAACAATTTTTTCGTCAGTCCTCGTCTTCTTCTTCTTCTTCTTCTTCTTTCTATCATTGTCATCGCATCATTATTAGAATGAAGGCATTTAACCCGTGAAATAAAAAATACTAGTCAACGTGTAATAATCAAATAGACACAAAAGAAAACAATGGAATTAAGGTCTATTAAAGTATATTAATCAAATATCTATTTCATGGGTTTAATGACTTCACTCTATCATTATAATTATATTAATAATTACAGCTATGAAAAACCTATTCTAGTAGCAGTTCTAGTATCGTTACCTTTTTTTTCTTATTTTTTTCTAACTTTTCTGCAGTTTTCACACATYATAGCTTTTCTTAATAAACACTCGAAGATTTATGTCACGTCCCAGCACAGCTGAAGTAGTTTGAGTAAAACACTTAAGTGCCTATTGTTCCAGAATCATGCAATACTCCAAAACAAGGACCTTTTTCATAAGTGTTAGAATTAAAAGCTTTAAGCAAACAACGACACTTTTGATATAGGTTGCTATCAATAGACGTCACTTCCGGTAATAGCTGTGTTTTTAATGGCTTGTAGAATTTTGGAGGTTGTTTTGATCTCTTGTTTTCTGGTTTCATGTTGTAGAAATAGTCAAATACAATAGTTTGAGGACTTATTTTGATATGTTTTGACTTAACATCCGCTAGTTGCCCCCCAGTGAACCGCTTGTTTGCCCCCCAGTCAACTCCAAAAAGTCACGTGATTGATAGTAAACAATTTGGCAGTTTTGAACCAAACATGTTTTGGCAGATTCGACTGTCATCATCAGTGATGGTAAAGTAAAGTGAGATTACAATATATAGTAGTACAATATTATTACACAGTAAGTATATAGTTCTATAGTGTTAGAATATTCACAAATACCAATGGTTAAGTATGGAATGCACAACTTAACAATATAGAAACACCAAGTTGAAATTTCACGGAACCAACTTTCAGTCCGCCCAAATAAAATAATCGTTCTTGTTACAATCAACTCCAAAAATTATATTTGGTAAGCTTACCTTATTTAGAAGTAAACATAGATTTCTTTTTGGTGATTTTTCCGCCATTTGAAGCTTTAAAATGTCGAAAATATGAAACATAACTTGCAGGTATTACAGAGAAGAAGTTGTCCACCATCTTGAATTTAGCTTAGAGACCTGGCCTTTGACAAAGGAAGCCCAAAGCGTTTAAAACCACAGGGAACCCGCGCGAACGACAAAAAGAGCAACAGGAATGTTGAACCTTCAATCAAAAATTATTTAGACCATGGGAAACTTGATTGAAACATTGAACCCTGTACAAATCTGGCAAATGAGTTGACCGAGTGGGGTCTGGGCAATAACGCTATAATATTTTTGACGATAGTCCCCTTCACAGCTCCCTACGCCATCTTGAAAGGTAGCCATTCCTTTGCATTGAAGCGAGGACGAACGGCGAGCTTGCAATGATCGCGGTGAGAGACCTTTTTTAACACCTTGGACAATTATTCACAAGTCTCTATTATTGCAAAGCTCACCGTTCGTCTCGCTTCGATGCAAAAGTACGGCTACCTTTCAAGATGTCGCAGACTCAACTGTTAAAGTCTGTTAAAAACTGTTAAATCAGCCATTCCGAGGTTAAGGAAAAAACTGGGTCGAGTTGTGATTGCAGTGCATCGTAGGGCTGTTTTAAGACGCCATCTTCTAAATGTATCAAAAATAAGAGTCGCACAATGCACGGCAACACCCAGTTTATTAATCAACTTCGAATATATTAAATATAATATATATAGTTATATATAGTAATAATATATACTTATCAATCATTTATTTTTTGTTTCTTTCCAAAGGGCTCGCCAAAGCGCTTCAGAACTCAAGGCCAATCTTTGTCAAATGGTATCCAAAAACCCAAACATGAAATTCATTTCCTATGACGTGGAAATCTACGACCAAGACCAGAAAACCATCTTAGAGATTGGATATGTGAAATTCACCTTAAAAGAGAGCGATAACCCGGAGCATCACCATGCTATCGTCAACGAAGAACTCCACAACCGAGAAGGCTTTGACAACAAAAAGAAATTCAAGTTTGGGGCAACCAAGCATGTGCCGCTGGAAGAAGCCGTTGCATTTCTACAGAGGTATCGCAGGCTCAGATGCTCTGGTGACTCACTCGGGTTACCATGGTGATAAGTACTTGGCCGACAATCACATCAGCGTGGCGAAGAAAACGATGTTCGATACGCAGACCTTGGCTTTAGCGCTGCTGCAATCACAAAACCCGAATGTGATCTGCTGGAGCTTGAAGGAAATTCTCGAAGAGACGGGCAACAGTTACGACGAGAGTATCATACACAATGCAGGCAACGATGCTCACTACACTATGGTGGCTTTCAAAGCTCTCGCTAAAATAGCCATGCCAGGACTTGCTTCTACATGATGTCACAGTTCATGACGTGAAACATGACGTCACAAACTACGTAAGAAGTTGACGTAACTATGCCTCATAATCAAATGATGTCAATTACGAAAGTACGAGTATCTTTTAATATTTTTATTACGTTTTTAAAAAAGGTAATTCTGGGGAACGATAGATATATTTTTAATTGTTTTCAATAATTGTAAAGGTTATAATATCAATTTAATTGAATTAATTTTTTTAATGTTTCCGTGATGAAGTTAAGTTAATAATTTCAAAAAGTAAGACAGAATCCTTAAATATTGCAATTCAGATCAAAGTACTTGTTAAACTTAAATAAGAAGGTTAAAATAAGATAGAATAAATACATAAAACTTTACGTTTCTCTTATTTTTTACATATTTAAGTTTTTCTTTCACTTTTTATTTCGGAAGTCATTGAAGTGTTAGATAAATAATTTGTTTGTGTTTGTGTTTGTTTTTTTGGGGGGGAGGGGGAGGGGAAGTGAGTGGTCACATATTACTAACTTCTGCTAATCGTATCACCTCAAATAAACCTGACATTATTCCGGACAAAACTTTACCAGAAAATTCGAATATAGGATCGTCCGGATTGAGTTCCACAGAAGCCATTGAAATGTTACTCATTTTACGAAAGTCTATTTACAGCAAAGAAATGCATTCAACATTGACCTGAGTGCATGTTTTCTGTATTGATCATTTTATAATATGCCAGTAATATCTCCATGTAAAAGCTAGCTCAGCTTTGCTCTAAAGATAGAACCACTGTTATATATCTGAATTTCAGGGAAGCCATTCACATAAAGCCATTATAGTGCTACTATTAAAAAGCTCCATAAAATATAAGCAGAAACTGCAACGGCTTTTGCGGTCCAAAAGTCTGTATTTTTTCTGCATGTATATATGAATATAGAAATATCATCTCCATGTAGAACTGAACATCAACAAAGCAAGAAACATCAGAAACAGAACCGTCCATCTTCATTTCAGGGAAGCCATTACAGTGCTACTTTTCCAAAGGCGCGCACAACAGCGTCAGCTGCAACTATTCCTGGATTTTTTCTGTATTTTTAATGCAAAAACATCATCTCCGTGTAGAACTGAACATCAACAAAGCAAGAAACATCAGAAACAGAACCGTCCATCTTCATTTCAGGGAAGCCATTACATGCTTCTTTTACAAAGGCGCGCACAACAGCATCAAGTGCAACTTTTCCTGGATTTTTTCTGCATTTTTAATACAAAAATATCATCTCCATGTAGAACTGAACATCAAAGCAAGAAACATCAGAAACAGGATTGTCCATTTTAATTCCAGGGAAGCCATTACAGTGCTGCTATTACAAAGGTCCGTAAAACAGCAGAAAACGCGACATTTACCCGAGGCCTCGCATTTTTTCTGTTCTTTGTAGCACTCATATTTAATATGGCAAAGTTTTGTTACGGTCATTTCGCCCGTGTGGTTGGTAGGAATCCTTTTGAAGCAAGTGTCCATTCGGTGTCGAATAGAGCAGTCGCTGATAGTCTGGCGTTTTTCTTTGCAGTAGGAATCCTTTCCACTGCAGATGTAGCATCGAATCCCAGTCGCTGAATGGTTAAAATAAAAATATATTTTAAAAAACTAGCTTAACACAGGTAACCCAAGCATTAGTCCCTTATTACAGGTAACCCAAGGCTTATTCTCTTGTACGTAGCATTGAATCCCAGTCGCTGAATGGTTAAAATAAAAATATATTAAGAACTAGCCTTTAACATAGGGAACCCAAGCATTTCAGTCATACCACAGGGCAACCAAGGCTTATTCTCTTGTATCCCCGTCACTGAATGACTCGAATAAAAATAATAAAAATATATTAAAATCCAGAAGCATTGGACGTATACCAAAGGGTATACGATTATTAATGTGTAAAATAGAATATCAGTAATTAAAAATATAAAATAAAAGCATCTGTAAAAAAAATAGCTTTCAACACAGGGAACCTAAAAAGCAAGCCTCTTTAAATGCCACAGGGAGCCCAAGATTAATAATATCGGGAATACATGACCCACAATTCCTTTCCTTTCCTTTCCTTTCCTTTCCTTTCCTTTCCTTTCCTTTCCTTTCCTTTCCTCATCAGTATCCATGTCCAGAAGGAAAAAAAACCATTATTATCTATCTATACGTCTCACTTAAAAAGGAATAAATTCTTTAATCTTTTCCTCAAATTAAAATACTCATTGGTAACATTATAACGACCAAACAAAATATCGAATAATAGCTTCCAATTCACCAGTGCTTGCCATCTGGAGACCACAATTTCTCTTTCGCAATCTAATTCATTTATTATTATCATAAATGATAAGTAAAAGTGCAGAGGAAAATTTCCATATCGCGAAGGCTTTTCTGTTTACACATTTAGCATACAATTTAAGAGCCATTCGCTTCTCTAATAAAATACATTCACAACTTGTCTTCAACCATAGAGAAAATATCATAGAGAAAAACAACACAGCTGTGTTCATTTATATTTCTTAGGTTTCAAGATCTTAGCCATCGGAAAGTATTAAGATTTCAAATGAAGTGAGCTAAATTATCCCCCATATTTATAACTGAATAAATGTTTTTCAATATTATTCCAATGCAAACTGTATATATATGCGTATATATATTTCCAGCGCTTATAATGTATTAGTAAAGTCGCATAAGTCGAAATTTATAGAACTAATTAGGTGAATTCTGATTTTGTTATTTCATATTTCATTCACGTATCGTATTGTCAAAGCMAAACATTTTCATATTATCAAACTAGTTTATTCTTAAATTACAAATTTATCTGTCGTTCTTAGTCAGAAAAAAAATTAGTAGAGCATGTAAAATCTTTCTTTTTTCGCCAATATAAAACAATAGAATTTCATTGAAAGTAAATCTCGTTTAATGGATTTTTGAATCACTCATCCTTGAAGAATTTAGCATTCATTGCCTTCGTATTTTTAATGGAAAAATCCTTTATGAAAGGTTCGCTTTTAAATGGCATTTCAGTGCTCATAAACCTAAAATAATCCGAAATTCAGTATGAAAAAGACCTGAATATGATGTTTTTTGAATGTATTATTTTCAAATCAAATTCAACCGTCGAAAAAATCCCAAAATCTTCATTCTTCAAGGATTTTATACTCATTACGAATGATAAATAGACTCAAGGGACTATAAATTATATACACATAAACTATGCTTTATAAAGTCTAATGATATAAACTTACCAATTGAAAAAATAGAAAAAGCAACGAGAAGATTCAAGCAGTGTTTCATGAAGTTTCGCTGCCAAAGATTGTTGCGTTCTTCAGACCTGGTTCTACGTTGAAATTTTTCTTTAATCAAACTCAAGGCTGGAATTCAAATTCTTATTTATTCCAGGCGCGAGGTTTGTTTGTTGAGTGAATGATGGCTTTTGTTCCGGTTTTTGTTCTGAAAGAATCAAAGAAAGACGCCGATTCGTGTTCCTAATCCTCTTGGAATCTTTGCTGTGGAGACGAGGTCAATTAATGATGACGTCGTTGAGGGACATTTTTGACTGTGGAGGGGAGATACGGGAGGTAGCTGCGAAATTAAAAATGCAATAAAAGTTTTGCCGGCTGCACGGCCATGCTAGGTCTATGGCTGAACAATAAAATGTAATAAATTATAAATTATAATGATAATAAACTATTTACTTTCAGGATTAGTCCTCTTTAGCTCAGGCGTAATGTTTTCCATTTTAGACCACGTGTCATTCCCTAGATTATCATTTTTTTGTTTAATGGTGGTGCATGAGAAGGCACATGAATATGGATACAACTCCGAAAAAGAATCTTATTCTCTAGACCACGTGTCATTCCCTAGAGTATCATTTCTTTGTGTAATGGTTGTGCATGAGAAGACACATGAATATGGATAAAACTCGAATCTCAAGAGAATGAGATGTGTTATGTAATGGGAAAACATTACACAACAGCTGAAAAGCATTCCAAGTAAAGAAACGAATGATACATAATGGTAATTGAATAATTGAACTGAGTGGAGTGCAATTTGGCCTGAAATCAAACGCGCGATTACAAAATCGCACGACCGCGTAGCGGGAGTGCGATTTGTAATAGCAAGTTTGATTTCAGACCAAAATTGCACGACACGAAGTTCAATTACCACTTTATTAAATCCATTTTGAAACCTTTTTTGAAAAAGACGTTTTTTCCAGTTAAACCGACATGACTTACAATCTAAAAGCAGTCGATTCAAACATGCTGTCAAGAGAGCTTGTGTATACTGTACTGATCGAGCAATGATTCTCATTTTGAAAACCAACACTTTCAATCCAAAAATAAAATGAATTTATATCGGACCAAAAGGCATTACATGTATTAAGAATCGTTTACTTACATTAAATAGCAAGACAAACCTGCCCAGAAGGTTGTAATGAACTGGCTGTTGTCCATACAGCCAATGCTCACTGCTTGTATTTTTACGATTTCTGTTCAACATGTTTAGATCACACTTGTGCCGAGAAACAGCAAAAATCAAAGGTTGTTTGGTCCTTCGGTTGTCCTTAAGAAGTCACGTAGCTCAGCAAAAATCTTCTTCTTAAGAAAAACTTCTTTTAATGACTGTATTTTCGATGTGTTGTTATGCTTTACAGATTGAAAAGGAAACCACTTTCCACGATCAATCGCCAAGAAGTCACATTCAAAAGATGCCGATTGCACTTTCCCCCACTGCTTTTCGCTGTAATATCTTCAACTTACTTAARCAGTTACATTACAAAGATGCTTTTGACAATTTTAAGTGATCAGTTGGTCTTTTTAAGTCCTTTTTACGGCTTTTAAAGTCTTTTTTACGACTTTTGACGGTAAAATTGTTCTTCAGAAAACTTTTTTTGAGCCGTGGCTCTTTTTTTCGCAAGAAGCGTTGAGCCCAACACTCAGATGGATTCCTTGATATAATTGGCTGGAAAATGACATGTCTCTCTTGTGATTGGTTCATATCAGTTGATGTGCAAAATCGTGCAATTTAGAGCTCAAAATCGTGCAATTTATGCTGAAATCACTGCTGCAGGGAACCAATCAGATTGCAGGATTTGCTTGTGATTTCAAAATGGATGTAATAATCAAGGGAATGACACATGGTCTAAAATGTTAAAACAATGCACAATAGCTAGAAAGCATTTCTGGTAAAGAAAGAAATAATACTCCCCAAACTAATAGCATTCATGTTTTTCGTGTACCCCCCCTTCAATCGTTTAAGAAATCTTCCCAATCCTCCCAATCCTCTTTTTGACCTTTCGAGGCCCCCCATGTTCCACTAAAAAAAATTTGAGGGACCCTTATTTTCTCATTTTCTCCTCCAAAGAGTTAGGAGAACTTACCGTTCTTGTTATTTCACCTGTCAAAATAGCCTCATCTCGGAAGTCCAAACAGCAGAACTGAAATCTACTGCCTGCTCTGCAGTAGAACTATCTGGAGTTACTCTACGAGGAATCTCTGAGAACTCACGACGTTTCATCTATTCTACTACTGAGCAGGCAGTAGACGACGCAATAATCCTTTCTTTTAGCTTTGAATACATTTTCCTTAGAAATATACTTAGTTTTTTTAAAATCTTCTGTACTTAAACTTTACTTTACTTCGTTTTGAAAGGAGAGAAAATGTTGATTATGATTCGAATGATACGCGTGAAAGGTGTCATTTTACGCTCTGCTCTCATTGGGCATTAGACGATTTCCGAGGTGCACGAACGCTTTCATAAATATCACAGGCACAGACATTAAAACGAGGCATTTTTCGGGCAGTGTGATAAGAAAGCTATCGGAAACCAAAGGCGAAGAAAAGGTTTTGTCTTTTTTTTTTCAAAAACTTATAATCTTATTCCGGATCCCCAACCAAAGAAACTTCAAGGTACCGATGTTCCTTTGTTAACATAATTTTCAAAGTTAATTTGTATGTCTTTTCCATAGCGCGCGTGCCTGTAATTGCTTATTACCGGAAGTGACGTCTATTGATAGCAACCTATAGTCTTGCTCGAAAATGCCTCTTTTTCGAATCTGAGCACACGATACTTTTGACAGCGGTCGCGCATCTCGAAAAAGATCTATATGTCAAAGTGGGTGGTTCCTTCACGGATGGATGAGTTGCTCGATAAGAAGCTACTCAATAATCTATGTTTCTTGTCGGACAGGCGGTCTTTCCCCCGCCTTTCCCCCAGGAAGCACGGATATAAGAAAGCGATGGGTTTCCTGTGGTGAAAGCAAAACACAGGAAGACCACTCTATTTTTTTATAAGTTTWTTTTTTTTCTCGAAAATACACTACGACAGCATAAAAACACTTAGTACTATAGATGCTGAGTCAGTCAGTTGAAATATTAGATTAAGTCATTCTAATTATCTTACATCCTCGTTAAGTTCAGAGCCGTCAATCATTACGCAAAGGCACCCTTCTTAAAACTATCTTGAATGCGAACCCAACATGAAAACACAAAAGAAATTCCTTAGAGAAAAGTGTGATTCCTTTTGTATGTTCGCGTTAACGTTATCCGTATCCACGATACTTTTGAGGAAGGTCCATTTTCAGCTTTTAGTGATGAGAGAAAATGTAAGAGATGCTAGCGAGGAAAGCCATCACGGATACCATGGCAACGTTGATCTGAATGAATCCTGCAGAGCCGTTACAGCCATCAGTGTTGCAACACTCAGTGACGCAGTAGTTTGGAGTCTTGCTGCACAGAGACATGGACTGGTTGCAGGCAGAAGCGGAAAGACAGCCTTTTAAAACAAGAAAAATATTTTGATAATATTAATCATCATCACCATCATCATCATTATCATCATTATCATCATCATCATTATCATCATCGTCATCGTTATCATATTCATAATCATCATTTATTGTTTACTGTGCTAATCATCATCATTATGATTATCATCGTCATCATCATCAACACTATAATCATGTTTTATTTTTTAAAAAGATAAGTTCTATTTATAATATGTTGAAGAAATAGAAAAAGCGCGCGCATACTGTGTGCAGTTATAAAGCACGCGGGGATTGGCAGAACACGAGAGAAGTGTTAGGAGAAGTAGTTCTCGAGTGTTCTGCCAATCTTCAAGTGCTTTTCAACTCCACACAGCACAGTACAGCAAGCAAATTTCCTTTATAAAATACAAATTACAATAACCGTTATTTTGGTTATAGGAGTGATGCAACTGAAAGTGATCGCGCGTGCTGTGCTCTTATAAAGCACGCTTTCTCAACCAATCAGAACGCGAGATTTATAACAGTTTTCAGTTTTCAGTTTACAGTTTTCAGCTCACTCACCTTTGACGACTTTGCTCGTGTTCTTGTAGGTGGTAGTGAAGCATGTGTCACCCCCGCCGACGCAGTCCGATGGACCGGTGCAAAGACTTCCAACTCCAGCGCAATAACGGCACTTCAGAGAGAACGCTGGAAATAGAATTATATTATTATACATTGTGCTCACTATCTGAATAGACCCTTTTCGAGTTCCAAATTACCGCTGTGTTTCTTAATTACAGACTCATTTACTCAGGCTAAGCCTCGAATCAGTGTCTAATTACTCGCAAATACCAACGGTAAAGTAAAGAATGCACAACTTCAACAATACAAACACTTTGAAACTTGACGGACCTTGACTGGAACAAGTGAATATTCTTCAYAAAATCGAGGGTCTATATTCTCATTGGTCGGGAACCTACAGATAATTATTATTTATTCTATTTTTAGTGCCATCTGAAACAATATACTAACTACATGTAGAGAGCTAATTGCTGTATATTTACTTTTTATTTCAAATTAACGAGACTCACAATGCCCTTTGGTCTTGGAATGCACTATTCAGTATGCACTATTCAGTATTCAACCTTTTTTGAAATAGCTGTATAAGAAAACTAAGTATGAAACTAAGTATAAAACTAAGAATAAAAGGAAAAAAGTAATGACAATAAATTATATAATTGCTTCATTTATCTCTTTTTTCGCTGTAGTTGAAACTTATACCCTGTACTATTGAGTTTAATATTATAGTATTATTATGATATTATGATGATATTATAACCTCATAGTTATTTTTTCTTTCTTTTTCTCGTTTTTTCTTCTTTGACCCTAAATGAAAACTACGACAGCCAACTAGAAAGCTTTTGCACCTTTGGCTGTCGTATACTTACACCTATTGTATGTTAATCATAGTAAAAATTGTTAATATTATTCAAGCTATATATATCCTTGTAATTCTATCATGTAAAATTTAAAAAAAAAACCAGTGTAAATAAATTCAGACTTAAATTGAATTGAGTGTCGCCTTTGTCTCCGTTTTTATAACGTCCCCTGCGTGCTGTGATTCTGAGTCTAATCTGATTTACATAAGAAAGTTTCATCGCAAAGCCACTATATTCCTCTGTGTTCGTATCGAAGGTATTTGACTAGTCTGAAAATGGTTTATAGATTTTTATTCTTTCTTAGCAAGAATTCAACGGTTTTTTAAGCTAATTTATTTATCTTAGTTATCGAAAATTATAAAAGCTCGCCAAAAAAACAAAAAACAACAAAAAAAAAACCACGAAAAATAATTTTGAGTTGCAAATTAATTTTCAAGTTTCTTTAATATATATTAGTTTACATTAGCAAAATCAAATTACTGAATTTAGGAAAAGGAATTTCCCAAAATACTTGGATGGTTTTGAATGTTTTTGTCTCAAAATAGCTAGAGTGATTTTACTTTGCCATGAATAGTCAACCAAATGCATACTAGCTAGACTAAGATCCCATTGTTTTCTTTTGTCTTAATTATCTGATTTAGTAACTAATTTCATTCTAGTTGAATAAAGTTGAATATATATGAATTTAAGAAACCAAACAAGCTAATATCAAATTGCTTAGTCTTTTTGTTTTTTTGGTATCCTTCTAGTAGTCTCCCGCGTTGTCAGAGTTGTCATCTTATAAACAGGGAATGTTCTTGAAGAAGTTAGAAATATTTCCCCGCCTCAAAATAACAAGAAAACTTTCTTCCAAGCCCAGAACCCTAGGCCGTAAACTGATTTAGAGTTGAATAAAGTTAAACTATATATATGAAATTTAAGAAACCAAACACAAGCTAATATTAACTGTTTGGCATTTTTTTTTAGTCTCCCGCGTTGTCAGAGTCGTCATCTTATAGCAGGGAATGTTCTTGAAGTTAGACTAAATATTTCTCCGCCTCAAAATAGCGAGAAAACTTTCTTCCAAGCTCTGAAATTATAGTTTTGAACTCGTAAACGTCTTCAAGGACATTTTTAACAGCTTTTAAAAAGTAGAGAAATCTTAATGTATGCAAACAAATGAGTTCTAGAACTACCTAGGTAGGATTAGGCGTACATACAATGAAAATATTAAAAACGTAGCTTAAAAAATAATGTGCTTGATAAATATTTACTTAATAATAGTTAGATAAATCTGCTTGAAAAAGTGGAAGAAAATCTGAACTGATAATATACAAAAGTGGTGCTTCGATTTTTAAACTTTTTACATATTAAGTTTACAATATTTAAGCCTTAGCGACGAAACGTAATAGAATTAAATAAGCTTAAAATATTATTTAACTTACCTGTGGGAATAGCGACAGCTAAAACGAGGAGAAAAGCTATAGCAAACTTCATTTTGAGTTGAATTTTTACGTCTTTAACTTCAGAAGTTCTTTGCAGTTCTGCCTTCACAGAGAGCGTCTCGAACTATGAACAACTCCCCAAACTATAATAACTCTTATCTTGAAGAACAAGCTTTGAATAAATACATAATATTAAATTATCACTTAAAACCGTATTGTTTTATTTGAAAACAATACCTTGTTTAATCCTTAAAAAGCTAGGAATTGTTGATGATTGAATACGATAGGCATACTAGTCAAGCTACGACCAATCACAGAAGGCCACTTTAGAAACCAGCAACAGACTGGGACGAGTTTTGAATTTTATTCTTATTAGAATTATTTATTTTTGTATTTTTGTATTTTTGTATTTTATTTTATTTTATTTTATTTTTTGTCGTTTGAGAAAACAACTCAAGATTAGTAATTCTGGCAAATTTGAATGATTGGATGAAACAAACCAGAATTATTGCCTTTCCAAAAGTGTCGAAAATTTACAAATATATGCATGACACTGAGTGACACTTGTTCACGTAACCTGTTACATTCTTCGTTCTGCTAAACACTATATTTTTTGCTTCCTCGTTTACTTAAAATTGCCAAAAAATTTTCTAAAAGCCAAACTTTTATGCAGTTTAATGTCGAAATGTTCGTTCAATGTTGTAAACAACAACGTCAAGAATTATGAAGCCATCAACCGTTTCGACGCGTCCAGTAATTTCCATTGCATGACATGAACGATCACACTGTTGAGTGCTTAACCATGCCATGGATATCCACTGCGGGTGTCGCTATAGAGTACTCAAATGATGATGTCACAAAAATCAATTTTCGCTTGATCATATTTTTGGTTAACAAATTCGATAGACAATCAGAAAAGACATTTACACACCAAATTTGACGAGAATCGGACAAATATCAGCTGAGATATGACCATATGAATCGGCGTTTGGAACTGACAGTGATTAATTGTATGGAGTAATTATATATTCAAATGGTCATATCTCAGCTGATGTTTGACTGATTCTCGTCAAATTTGGTGTGTAAACGTCTTTTTTGATTGTCTATAGAAATTAGAGATCGAAAATAATTAAAGTTAAAATATTTTTTCGTGACGTCACACTTCAGTACTCTATTGCAAATGACTAATAAATGTGTTATTGTAGAATGTTCGAGTCTAAATTTAAGACATCCATCAATAGCTATACTATTAATTCCATATTAGGTAACTGCTTGAACCGTTCTTGAAACTTAAAGAATAATCGACCAGGCTCTCAACTATATGGATCAGTTCATAAACCCGTGAAATAGATGTTAGCGTAATAATCATTAATACACACTATACTAATACGAGTTATTACTCTGAATTTAAACAAATAAGTAGTAAAAATACAGTCAATAAACTCTCACTGCAATACTAAGTTATCTCTCTAGTAGCCACTATTACACATTAATATGCGTTAATAGAAGTTAATAGCTAAATTTCGTTTCACGGGTTTATGGAAATCACTCTATGTATGGATTAATTAAAGTAGCTATATAATTAAGAGGTAATAGAGTGGTTTTCGGCATTAACCGTGAAACAAAAGTTGATTTTTAGATGGTRATAGCCAGATTCAAACAATAGAAAACAAAGGAGCTAGAGCGTAATAGTACTAAATATGCTAAAATGTATTTCACAGTTCTAGGACTTCATGTTGTACAATTTTAAGAAATAGTTAATTAGACTAGAAAAATCCATCTGCACCTGACCGTCAAATTAGACTCGTCCTTGGAACTTTCCTCGTCCACAATCATTTCTTAAAGTGCCCTTCACCCCTACATCACCATTTTCACTATTGATTCTACTTGAAGTGAACAGTTGGATGGTAAAATATATTTTTATGTGATTTGAGTGATTCATCTTGGAGATATCAGTATTCATACTTCCAATATACTAATGAGTGTGATGTCAGTTGAGTTTATTTGTCATCATTTGTAAATAGCGCAGCGCACTGATTCTAAAAATAGCTTAAAGATTCGGACAAACATTGCTTTCTTTTTAACCGCTACGAGGATTATACGAACCGATTTTATTATTTTTACTTAAAGTTACAATAATAACCCATGTAAACTAAGATCAACTGCGATCGGCTGTGAAAATTATCTGCTGAAAGTAAACTTGTAAGTTTGTTTGTCCGAATTTCGCCTTTGTCTTCGTTTTTATGACGTCACGGTTGCGCTGCGCTACTGAATCACTGATTACGACGAGAAAACACATACGAGAAAATAACTTTTCTATAAACTCTGAGTAAGACAATGATGTTTTAAACACAATGTTTCACTGCCCCAGAAAATTTTCGTATATTGCCTAAAAAAGCCAAACTTCTTTGAATAAAACAGTCCCTTTGTTTTGAGAAGTCATTAAAGAATTAGCATTGTCAAATTATAGTTTAAAACTTTGGGATTATTGTACTAGTACGTACTAAACCAATATTTATCTTTAGAGTGATTTTCATAAACCCGTGAAACAAAATTTAGCTATTAACTTCTATTAACGCTTATTAATATTTAATAGTGGTTATTAGCGAGACAACTAAGTCGTCGTTTTAAAGTTTAACGGGTAATAGAGTGCTCGCACTAAATCCGTGAAACAAATACTAATTTTTAGCACTAAATAGTGATAATTAAACAATAGAAAACAAAGGATTCTGTATGAAATAGTACTAATTAGTACTATTTAATGTTCACGGTTTTAGTGCGTGCACTCTAACTCGTACTAGTTTGTATTAATGATTTTTACGCTAAAATCTATTTCACGGGTTTGGAAAATCACTTTATCATTACCCTTTCTTGTTAAAACGAACTAAGGTATTTTTAGATAAGATTTCTGAGATCATTTAATCTCACTACACATGTTCTATGGTTGAGAACATTCGAGGGGATCTGAGAAAAACTTTAACCAATCGTTGTCAAGAAAACTTGAAAAACTGAGGTGTCCCTTTAAATTAAAAATATAATAAATTTCTAGGCTTATCAACAATTGGAAAAAAACCTTGCGCTTGATAACAGTGACACAATAAGTAATGAGTTATATATTTTTATTGCAATACACGACTTTCAAGAATGGCCGCCAAACTCGGTTGGGACTAGGGACAATTGAATGGAAGCGACGTAAGTAAGGCCTCATTAGTAAACAAAGTCTACTCAGTATGATATTTTGTGTCAAAGTCATTCACCCTTACATCAAAATACTCTTAAAAGAACTCGAATTGGTGAAATGAATGACAACAGTCTTGTTGCGTGCAATGTTGCACCGTGTGTCAGCACCTTAATGTTCACCTATTTCAGACCACGTGTCAGTCCCTTGAGAATGAGATTCTTGGTTTGATTTGTATCCATATTCATGTGTTTTCCCATGCGCAACTGTTAAACTGTTAAACAAAGAAATAATACTCTGTTGAATAACACGTGGTCTGAAAAAGGGAACCATTGCGCACAAGCTAAGAAGGTTTGTTCTAATTCTGGAGCGTTGCTTTTGATCTTACGCACAACATTTGCCCCGACAGTGTGAACCTAGCCTTAGCGTCGCCAAAACGTTTTGCATAAAACCATCCCCTCCGATCATGTGCACATATACGTTTTTCCATATCCCTTTCCCCCAAAGAATGCACTTTACATAGCGATAGATATGATTTTGTTTTACAAGTTTATAATTTGTTAACATATTTTGTCAGTTACAGACATTGATAGCGTTGTTGTAATATGAAGGTTGAATTTGATCCAGATTCTATTCTCATCATCACTTATTTTTTTAATCAAAAAAATTCATTTAGTCTCAATACATACGTTTTGATGAAGAAATAGAACACGCGCGCTCGTGCTACGTGCATTTATGAAGCACGTACTAGGCAAAGAATTGTAGTAATTGGTTCATCAAAGCTTCATTAAAAAATTGAAATAACAATGCTCCCTAACCACAATGCGAAATCTTTGCTGTCTCAGAAAAGATCTAAACACTCAAGCTGTCCCATATAAATTTACTACATGCTATCAAAAGTTTCTCTTGTCTATGCTATTTTAGTAAAAGCATTCACAAATGAGTACTATTAGTCTTCCTGAGGTTGCGCGGAAAACTGGTAACGAGTTTAAAGCGCGCACTGAATCATGGGCTTCCTCAAACAGTCTCATAATTCGCTGCGTGCCTTACTCGTTACCATTTTTCCAGGATACATAGAAAAAGGTCAATTGCAAAGCAACATAATGCACAATACGCATGCGTGTAAAAAAGTACTCGTGCGCATGCGCCTCTCACTTAGATTAACTTATATTGCAAAAACCAGCGGTATTTTCTACGCATGCGCAAAAGCATGATTTTAATTGTGATGCATGGCATATAGCCCCGCTGCTACGCATGCGCCAACTACAATAGCCTTAGGCGCATGCGTCAAGCTCCCACGACAGGGATCTGTCATGTTGGGGTTTCCCTGTATGCAGTTCGGTCCGTCGCAGCAAGCAATGTTGCATTCTCCGGTCCTGGTACAGTAGTGTTTCTGGATTTCACATTCATTGGGCGTGGCGCAACCAAACTCCCAGTTACCTTGACAACAAAAAATTAACATCTTTTGTGAGTAAGTGGCTAAAGGCAGAGCAGAGCAGAGCAGAGCAGAGGAGAGCACTGTTCGTCATATATATCACACAGATACCTTGTCCTTTGTTGCATTGTATTTTACACATTGTGAATGTGTTGCCAATGTTCTCGCATTGGTAGCTTGTGGCTTTGCTTTGACAGTCATCGTAGGATCGTCCATGCTGGCATGTTGGACATGTCATGGGTATCGGTGGACGAGGTGTTGTAGTAAAGTTTGAAGATGCTGAAGAAAGATTGTTAAATATCGATAAGAATATATACACATGGATGGATGGAAGGATGGAAGGAAGGATGGATGAATGGATGGCATACAAAATGATCACATTTTGATTGAACTTAACATCACTAGTTATTTTTCCCCCTGGGGTGAGCCCACGATAGCCACCGCTGACTCCTATTCACTTCTGATTCTAATGACAGTGAAGCCATCTGCTTTCAAATTTTGAAACGAAAACCATAAAGTATTATTGAAATATGAATATATTATTCAACTTAGTATAATTTCATAAAGTGCGGGTGCTTCTATGAGCTTTATAGCGAATATAAAATAAATAAAAAAGGAAAAAATATATCTTAGAATACGTTATTCCTCAGTATATTGTCGTTCAGGGTCCGCGTTTGCAAAACGTTTTTGAAGAATTTCTTTTAGTGGTTCAAATCAAAATTCTAACAAACCAGCTTATTGAATAAGTTATGATGAATATGAAGAAGGTAAAACAATACTGAAAGAATGATTAATGAATGGAGAACAAAGCAAGTGAAAAAAAATATGCTGCGAAAATCGAGAAAATATTCACAACTTATAGTCATACATTGGAATATTCAAGTCGAAAAGCGAGTTAAATTAATGAAGAGAAAAGAAAAAGAAAGTAAAAACAAACAAAAACATAACAAATGGAGAGAGAAAACAACCAAAAACAAAAGCTTTACCAAAAAAAGAGGAATATGAACAACTTATAGATAGATAAAAATTAAGTAGCAAGACTCAGAGTATAAAAGTCGAAAAACCAGATAGATTGATGAGAGAAACGGAATCAAACTCATAGAATTAATGGGGAGACAAATAACCAAAAAACACTGCCAAAAAATGAACAACTTATAGAAACATTTAAATGATTCCTGTATTTGGAGGAAAAAAGCTTCGAAAAACCATTTGATATTATTTCCTGCGTTTTATATTCAATCGTTTTAGAATGAAAGATTTCAGAGGCTATCGACTCACAGGATTTCAGATTCAGAGCCATGATAACGACGAGCACGGTTAACTTGAGCATAGTTTTGAAATCAAAAAAGCAATCTTAAATTTATAAAGAGATTATATATTTTTTCTGTACTAAGAGTACAAAAAGGTTATTCCAAAAATTCTTCTGATCTTTTCACGACCCTGTGTTTTGAGTGAGGTCTGAAGTCAATATGAATGGCTGTTAACACCTGTTTCGAAAGAACTGATTAAAAAACGCATATTGCATTTATCCTCTGACTTGGCTCAATTTGAACTATTATGATCAAAGGAGAAATTCTCTTTGCGTCAGGCATTTTCGCATTCTCCATAATGCTTTGCAATTGGTTTTGGGGGTGGGTAACCCCTCCCCCCCCCCCCCCCCCCCTTCCCCCCCAAAAAAACTCTTTCCGAACGTCCCGAAATAGAATATACAGTATACATCTTTCTGTACCTTTATCTATAAGATACTGATTATCATTTTATTCCCCTGAGTTAATTTCCCACGTTCAGAACTTCAAGACGTTTGGAAAATGTATTGATTCAAAATGTTCCTTAAGCTTCAAAATCTCGGCTTGTTTGTGGTTGCTTCTTATACATCTTTAGATATCACAGTATGCATTTCCCGGCAACACTTTCAGATCCGTCTTCAGAAAAATGTGCTGTTTTTCAGCTGGTTAGCCCCAAAAAACCGCAATGTATTATGGGACGTGGAAATGGTGACTGAATAAGGTTTTGATAGGGAATGGAGTTTTTTAAAAAATAGGATGATTATCTGACAAATAGCAGCGAAAGTACTTGTTTATATATGCCTTATATCGTCTAATTTAATTACCATTTTTTAGTGTTTTTTCACCTGTTTGTCAGGAACTGAAGTCAAATCTAATGATCGTGGGCTCAGCAGTAATATAATCTAGACATGCGCACTTACACCTTAAAAGTTAGAAGAATTTATACTTTGATCAAAAGTTAGCTTTAACAATTAGCCGGATACACATGAAAGAGTTGAGAGATGCAAGTAAAGTCCTGTCAGCGATTGTTCAAGTCAATTCAGCACAATAACCAATCATCTTCGTTATAGGTTTGATGAAGTTTTTAATCGAAGCCTTTTAACAGTGAATTGAGTACCAAATTAACATACATGTCATCGAATGGACCTTTTCTCAAAAGTCTCGTGGATGGCATGCGAGACCAACATTAAAATACAAAAGAAATCACACTTTTTTGTCGAAGGAATCATACGACGCAGGGATGTCACTGCGAAACGTAAAGGCAATATATTGTCGCTAGTGTGTGGCCAATATATGGTGTTAGTCAAATCCAACTAGCTAGTGCTCTATAATCAATGCTGCGTTCTGATTAGATGAGCTACTACTAGGCTGTAAGTTATAGCCCTACTAGTAGCGAAAAGTGCCGGCTTTGAAAACCGTAACATTTAGCTTTGAATTAAAACTTGTTTGCATCTACATATTTGACGGACTGGTTGAATTTGACTAAAACAATTAGGCCTCTTGAGTCGATAGCCCATTCAGGCTCGAGGTTTAATTGCTAATGGATATGCTAATATTGTTTTAGTTGTGCGCATTATTTTAAAATTTTTAAACTACAAGCATTTATTCTAAAAAATTGTTTCTTAAAACTACATTACGTTAACTAGTAGATTCTGGCAGTCCTTCGTATGACAGAGCATAATGCAAACTAGACGATTATATTAAGTCCTCGTGGCTTTAAGGCTGGTTCACACTAGCGTGGTATAAGCGTCTGAATCGGAATCAGAAGTGCAAGAAGCTTACGATCTAGTGCGAATCAAAACAACGCAAGCGGAATCGTAATCTTTGATTCGGCGCTCGCTTCTTTGTTGTTCCCATAGTTACCAAGAAGGCCGCCATGTTTTTTGCTCTGAATGGCCTGGGAAGAAGCTCTGTCATTGTTCAAAGCTTCCGATTCCGATTTTTCGGTTCACACTTGATCATAAGCGTCGTAATCAGAATCGGAGTCGGCAGAAAAAGAAAACCTTCTGATCCTTCCGATTCCAACTTTGTCGCCCTTCTGCTTTCGATTCTGACTCCGGTTATTGGTTCCCACTAGATCGTAAGCTCCCCTTACGACTCCGCTTCCATTCCGACGCTAGTGCGAACTATACTTTACTCAGCAACTAATCTTGATTTATTCCAAGCGTGTCTGATAACCTCCTCGACTCTCGGTGCTTCAGGATGCCTGAGGGTGTGGGGGTGGAATGCCGATGGAAGTGGTTTGCCATCTTCTTTGTGGTCACCGCCAGCGTCATGATCATCGGCATAGATCTCCAGCTCGTTGGCAGTACAGCAACAGCAAAACTTGTTGGTGCGTTTTAATTCGAGGTCTTTGACGAAGCGATAGTCCATGTATTCGGTAGTAACTGTAATATAGATAAACAAAATGATAGTTAGTAGTATTCTTGGGGTGCAACCACGACTCAAAATCCCTTAAGATATTTTAGTAACAATTGACCTCTCCATGACCATCAAACTGCCACTTACTGAACTCGGCATAACATTGAGTAGAGTTTCTAAGGTATCTCCCTTGATTCAAGGGGTTTTTCTCTGGGTTCTCTGGTTTTAATCCCTCCACGAAACCTAACGCGCTAAATTCCAATTAAATCTGTAAGTTAGCTGTGTCCTGACTTATATCAGCCCAGAGGTTGTTTCAGGGTTCAATCTGTGAGTTAGCCATGCCCTGACTTAGATCAGCCCAGAGGTTGTTTCAGTGTACTCCTCTACGTAGCAAGCATACCCCCTACCCCTCTACATTACAAACATCCCCACCCTACCCCTCTTACATGTCAAACATCCCCACTCTATCCATCTAAATTACAAACATCTGCACCCTACCCCTCTTACATATCAAACATCCCCACCCTACCCCTCTTACATAATAAACATCCCCACCCTATTCCTCTTACATAACAAGCATCCCCACCTACCCCTCTTACATATCAAACATCCCCACCCTACCCCTTTACATATCAAACATCCCCCACCCTACCCCTCTACATTACAAACATCTGCACCCTACCCCTCTTACATATCAAACATCCCCATCATACCCCTCTTACATAACAAACATCCCCACCCTATTCCTCTTACCTAACAAGCATCCCCACCTACCCCTCTTACATATCAAACATCCCCACCCTACCCCTCTACATATCAAACATCCCCACCCTACCCCTCTACATTACAAACATCTGCACCCTACCCCTCTTACATATCAAACATCCCCACCCTACCCCTCTTACATATCAAACATCCCCACCCTACCCCTCTACATAACAAGCATCCCCACCTACCCCTCTTGCATAACAAATATCCCCATCCTTCTCCTCTATGTATGGCACTCACCTGATCCAGTGAACAACCCACATGGAGGCTCCTTCTTGTAGAAGATACCTTGTCCAGTAACTCTCCAGTAAGTCTTGGCCAGACAACAAGGACAAAAATATGCCACACAGCACTCCCCACAGTCTTCTTTGTATGCGATCCCTGGGGCTGGGGTCACACCAGACCACTGCGCTCCACTCATCTCTACTTCCTTCTTCTTTTTCTTGAGTAGTGTGATGAAGTCCATGAGCATCAGTCTGTCACCAAGACACTGGATACCCATCTCAACTAAATGACGCTTGGAACAATTATTAAAAAAAACTGTTAGAAATAGTTCTTTTTCATTGCATATATTGATATATCTTGGATCCAAGGCTAACATGAAAACACAAGAGAAATCACACTTTTTCTCGATGCAATTTGTGGCTTTTCTATTGTATTTTTGTGTTAGCCTTGCATTCAAGATAGTTTTGAGAAGGCCCCATTTTCAGGATTTTAACCCCAATACACATGTTCAATGTACAGTCGACTCTCTTTGACCCCTCTCGTAAGCGACCAGCTCCCGTATATGATCAACTTTTGAAATTCCCGTTTTGTTCCCCATATAAACTCTGTAAAAAAACTCTCTCATAAGCGACCACTCTCGTAAGCAACCACGACCACCTTTGGGGTTAAAATTTTGGAATTTTTCATTGTTTTCCCTCTCCCGTAAGCGACCACCCAAGAGCCATTAATGGTGACAGATCCTTTAACAATAAAAAAATTAAGAACATAAAGTCATCGGGTATTAAAAACCCGACGAAATATTGACAATTATAGTACTGTAAACATATAGCACAGTTTACTAAAACAGTTTAATCGTTACTGCAGTAGTTTTAACACGTGAATTACGAATTATAAATGGTTAAGGCTTCCTGTGTTGGGATTTCCATTGTTTGGGCTTCCTGTGTTAACTCTCTAGTAAGCGACCATCTCCTGTAAGTGACCACTTTCTCCTGGCCCCAGGGTTGTCGCTTACGGGAGAGTCGACTGTAATTTATAATTAATAGGCTAAGTTTTCACTTATTATAAATCTTATACCACATCACCTACTCAACTACCTCTTTAGTTATCTTTGGTGGAATAATAGCCCACTTCCGAGATATACTTCGTTTGTCACGCACAAAGGTTTCAGTATGAGGCTACGTGCTAATTAAATGCAATTTAGCACGTAGCCTCATACTGAAACCTTTGTGCGTATCTCGGAAGTGGGCTATTGTACTGTCATTCTATAATTTTAGCTATAGTATATAAATATATTTATCTCTTGATAGTACAATAAACTATTGTTGTAGTAGCATGGGTGGCATATCATCCTAACATGCAGGGGCGAATCCAGGGGATGGGTGCAGGGGATGCAAACCCTCCCTGGTTCGACTTTGTGCCCCTAATTCGAAGATAACCAAAACTGTTTTTTCCCTTTGATTCTAAGGGTTGCACCCCTCCCTGGGTTAACTTTGTGCGCAGCACCCCTCCCTGAACAAAAGCCTGGATCCGCCCCGAACACATGATCTTTAACCACTGTGAGTCCAATGGGTCAGGTCGCTGGTTCAAGCCCTGCTATTGCCACATGTGAATTGAGTTTGTTAAATAAAAATATATTTGTCTTGTTTCAAAGTATATTACCTCTTGCATGAGAATGAGACATTTTCCATTGATTTTGTTTGCTTGGAACTGTTCACTTAAATAATCCAACCCTATTCTTGACAGAAAGTTTTGAACCACTTCATGGACTGACCATGCTGTGGAAAGAGAAAATGAGGTTCAAATCATACATATACACCTGAATTCCAAATTTCAATAATTTTGCCTGAAACAACCCCTGCACAAAGTGCATAGCGAGGTCTTGACTACAGGGGGAGTGATGTACCATCAATCGTTATTTTGGTGGTGATAATAGTCCCCTTCACAGTTCCCTGCACCATCTTGAAAGGTAGCTGTGCCTTTGCATCAAAGTGAGACMAAAAGTGAGCTTGCAATGATAGAGACCTTTTTTAACACCTTGAACAACTATTCATATATCTTTATTATTGCAAGCTCACCGTTCATCTCGCTTTGATACAAAGGCACTGCTTCCTTTCAAGATGGTGCAGGGAACTGTGAAAGGGATTATTGGGTAGTATTGATATGGGAATAAGGGAATGTCATGTGGTATGGAATGGGAAACTATTACAGTTAAATGGAAAGTTATGCCTGGTTGAGAGTAGCATTGGAATCAGAAGCACAAGCAACACACACAGACTCAGTATTGCATTTATTGCCTACTTGTAAAAAAAGACAAGCGCTGTTACTGCCGTTTGCATTACTATGCAGCCACCCCAGACACAAATCGCGTCATGTAGTTTGCAATAGACTGCCGTCAATCAAGCACCTACTACTCCTACATTCTACTTGGATGTACTTCAACTCTTTGCAATCGCTTACGGAACTTTCCTTCGTGATATCTGACTTAGATAGTTTGATAGATAAGTCAACTCACTGATCCAAACGTGTATAAATGGCGTCAACATGAATGATTGACGGCAGTCTATTGCAAACTACATGACTCGATTGTGTCTGGTGTGGCCACATAGTAATGCAAATGACGGTAATAAGCAGCGCACTACTGAGTCTGTGTATGTTGCTTCAAGTAACATTCTCGCAAACTACAGTATATACCACCTTTATGCAATTATATGAACTTACTCATAATGTTACAATTTTTTAAAATAACTATGTTACCCAGCAACAGACAGACATCCTGAAATATTTATTTGAATTTATTTTAATCATATTACGCCAAGAAACTCTACTAACAATTGACATTCGAGTGGGAAACTAAATATGGTGAGAAGTTGAATTATGAGAGGTTAAAAATGAAGGCAAAAACAAACAAGATATGAAAATTTGCATGGAGAATTTCACAATCAAAAAATTCTTAAAAAATTGCATGGATATCTTAGATGAAACTTGAGCTAAAATACATCACTTGATTTTAATACTAGAAACGAGCATTATATATAAACAAATAGGTTTATCGTAGTAGATATGAAGTTAAAATCATCTTAAAATCTTAGGCTAAATCTTTCAATAAACGTTACAATTTATTTATGCGAGAAAAATAAGGCCAACATTTGAATATTTCAAGCTTTAAATTCGAAGAGTACCTTGAAGACTTAGATTTTGGAATATGCTTGGTGTATAAATATGATCTGTGATCTTTTAAGACAAAAATATTTTTCAAAAATATTTTTCTAAGGTCTTGTTAATGAAGATTTTGAAATAATAGTGAGTAAAATTAGAACTTAGCGACAGTATTTACACATTTTGAGGCTTCAATTTTTGATTGTATTCTTGGTTTAACATGAACTTTTGTTTTCAAACAACGCCCGAATTTTAGGAAGCAGACATGGTCTGTCGATCCGCTTTTATTCAAGCTAATTCAGCATAGTATCTTCAAGACTAAAATATATATAAATTTTACAAGATAACTTGATTTTAACTTTGTCATTCCTTGCGTAAACAACGATGGAATTGCTCTGAAACCTTTCATAAAGATGGACTAACCCGCTTTGGCTTGTAAATAACACACAGTTGCATGTTTCAAGGCTAGATTTATAAGATACGCATAACAATGAACAGCCAAGCATATGGTTCTGAATATCACTCATTACCTTGTACAGTGGTTGGATCTAAGTTCAAGACATATTCCTCCTCGCCCGAAAGCTGTTTGGGCTGATCGGACACTACTTTGGTAGCCATTGGTAAACCTGTTTTAGCTTTCCCTGGGATCGTTTCGTACCCTCCCTTTGTTTGGCTTGCCATATTAAAGTTAATTATTCATAGTAAGCCGTGTCCTCTTTAAGGCATTCTGGAGTCACGCAAGTCATGCAACGCTACAGACAGCGTGACATCTCTTTGTCTTTTGTCAAATCTGTGGGCGATACGTTTGAAGACATTCTGAGCGTGACTGCATGATAATTGGACGCGAATTGAGTTCGTTTTACGTCGGAAAAGCAAAACCTTTTCAAAATGTAAAATCACTTGTTATCAGATCCTAGCTAGCCTTCTTACACAGGGAGCCCAACCAGAGCGCGGTCATCGCGAGTATATAAACTTGTCCACTCTAAATCGACCAGTGATCGAGCATTTCATCATAAATTGCGCATGATTGAAGCACACTTTGTAGGTATCTTAGGAACGTAATATATATGCTTCCCGCACGATGTCCACAGCTTCTGACACCATTTTTTTCAAAAAGAAATAGTGCTCAATCATAAATAGATGTAGCGCGTTTTTCGTACGAGTGGGAATCGATACGGCAATATTCGTAGCTGTGCCGTAGCTTTAATACCGTATCTACCGTAGCCGTGACTACACGTTGTGATTGGATGAATTGCTGGATCAAAACAATGGTAAGCCATTTCAATGTATATGTTTCAAGGTTCCCGGCAATTGGTCCTGATTTTTGGTGGTCACTTAATAAACTTTTACTAAATGCAAAATGTAAGAGGCATATTTATTAAACTTAAATTTCGCGAATTGATAGAAGAAATTTGTTCAATCAATAGAGATTTGTATGAATGGGAATCGATACGGCAAATTTGTAGCTGTAGTTTGCGGCACGTAAGGGGCACACTCTGCAATAGCGCGGCGCAACCGTGACGTCATAAAAACGAAGACAAAGGCGAAATTCGGACAAACAAACTTACAAGTTTACTTTCAGCAGATGATTTTCACAGCCGATCGCAGTTGATCTTAGTTTACATGGGTTATTATCGTAACTTTAAGTAAAAATAATAAAATCGGTTCGTATAATCCTCGTAGCGGTTAAACAGAATGCAATGTTTGTCAGGATCTTTAAGCTATTTTTAGAATCAGTGCGCTGCGCTATTTGATATACAGCAAGATTCAAGATGCATAAGATGATACGTGCCAACATGCATCATGCAACATGCATCGTGCCAACATGCAACAAAACTTTCACCAACCTTCTTCGAAATAGCTGTATCGAACCCTAGTCAATGGGTTAACAGCCCTGAGGCAGAGCACGTTTAGTGAGATGGCGTTCTGAAGTACGAGGTATTTTATATTGTTTGACTGTGAAATTATGCGGAAACTGTTTCAATCAGGTATACGTACGTAAGCCGAGAGCAGTTGCAAATTTTGAGACATACTTCGGGACTAAGGATTTCAAAGGTAATGGAAGGCAATATTCATGTGAGTTCTAATGCGCAGCCATCAAAACAAAGAAATGATACTCTAGGGAATGACAAGTGGTCTGCAATGCATGGGAAAACATTACGGCCGAGCCGAGGAGGTTTATTAAGATAACGTGAGATTGGAGAATACCTATAGAATAAAATCTTTTTGGCGCGAAATGTCAGTTTGATTTGATTACGTTGCTTCCTGACCTCACGAAATACATTGGCTTAACGTATATTTCTTCATGCTCTGGTAACGAAGACTGCTTGATTACAACTGAATCTTGACTCTCATCTTGAAATCTGATCTTTTGAGTTTTATATTTTCCTGAGGTCGTTGGCTTTGTTTAACGCCTTACGCCGTGTTTATCTATTATCCCATATTTTTTCATTTTATCTATTTACCATAACATACATCATCTTCGTCGGGGCATTTGCTAAATTTCTAAGATCAAAGGAATTTTGCTAAATTCCTAAGTTGCAAAGTGAGTGAATTCGAATCTGAATCCCAAAGTCGACGCATGACGGTCGTATATTTATTTTGATTTATTCGTATACATAGATATAGCACTAACTTGTAGCTTAATCCAGTTGGGATGGAAACAAGCTATAGTGTGTAAACACATAACAAATTTAAGCGCAGTCGAAGTATAACAAAGCTTCCTTTCTAGTTAAGATATTACAAAAACACTCGAGTTAAAATGCTCAAAGTTCTACGTTAAACTCATGTGGCGCAACATACGCATAATAGAATTTTTCAAAATTCTGGCTATTTCTTTTGCCTTCGATCGAATTATAATTAGTTTTTCCACTTCAACAATCTTCGATTCGCCATTCATTAGTGATAAAATTGCAGGGATTCAAACTCTTAGTTCGGACGTCTTTATCCCTTAACATTTAGCAATTAGATTAAAGAACTAAGTGCAATGAAAGAAGACAAATACATCTATGATACTAGCTCCATATTCCTCGATACATTAGCCTATATAGATCAGTAGTATCTTAGCTTCCAAGACTGAATTCTATATTATTTATCTCACTACAAACCTGCCACAGCGTTAGGGTCCAAATCCAAGAGATACTGCTCAGCTTCACTCAATTTTTGAGGTTGGCTTTGAATCACCATAGGTTCTTTCTTCGACATGTTTTCGACTTCGGCTGTAGCTGCGTATCCTGGTAGCGTATCGTAGCTTACTGCCATTACCTGAGGCAGAAGAATTTATTAGATACGCTGTAGTACTGTGTTCTAGGACATTCTTAAAGCAAACCTTTGTTAGTTGTTTTTCATGTGTTTTGAGCTAGAATTGTTTTCATATCATGGCCAATAAGGGTGTTGTATATAAAAGATTGACTGCAGAGCTGCATGTGGGTGTATATAGACTTTTGTGGACTAGAATAATCTACTGCTACGATTTGCGAGTTTTTTTAGCGTTGAGCTCATCAAGGTTTTTTATATTGGATTTACTAGTAGTTATGAAGTTATGGATTGAGACGCAATATACTTAATTCTGTATCTCAGTAAATTAACACACGTCGAATGTTTAATTTAGTTTGTTAATCTCTAATCGTACAAGTCTAAAACGAATCAAGATGACTTTTACAAAAAAAATGAATTTGGAATTTTATAGACGCTAAGTTTCAAGACGAAAAAATCTTGCAGATTATATCTAGATATTTTTGATACTGAGAGTTTTAAAGCTAGAATAAGAGAAGAGAAGAGAAGAGAAGA